ATATATATATATACCTGACTCACTTTGCTGCACACCTGAAACATTGTAAATCAGCTATACTTCAATTAAAAATTTTTAATAAATAAATAAATTGTTTAAAAATTGGTTTTGGTATATGAAGGCTCTGAACCTGGAGCTGAAATTTGGAGATAGTCTACACATTTAAAACTATTCTATTTATAAAGAGATAAAATAGATCACTATCCATGCAGATTTGACATCTAGGCTCAGCGTGAGGTGCATTTCTTGCAGGAGTAAATCTAAGTGGATAACTTGTATTATACTTTCTTGTTTTAGTTTTTATTTTCATTAAAGTTATACACACAGAGTTTAAAGAGGCGACCACTTCCAGAAGGCTTATGAAAGACAGTCACCTTCCCGTCCCACCCGTCAGAAGCAGCTACTTTTCCACTAGTTTGGTTATTCCTGACACTTGCTCAGTGTCTCCAAATAACGTGACTCTATGGCAGTTACTTGACTTTTCAGTTTCCAGAATGCTCCATGGCTTCACAGTGGTGTGGAAGAGGAAGGTTAAGGTCTCTTTCAGCCCTGCCCACCCCGATTGCCCAGCCCTCTGTCCTCCCCAAACAATTACACCATAAATTTGCTTAGACAGTAGTTTATGCTGTGTTTATTATGACTATGTGACCACTGTTTATAGCTGAGCCAATAATGGGTAATGATTCATCTTCCTTTCCTGCACAACTCTGTGTTTTCCGCATGGTTTAGAACTGTCTTTTTTGTTGTTGTTCGTTTGCTGAGGTATCTATGCTCTGTTCCCAGAGATCTCCAGTCTCCTTTCCGTGGGTTCAAAATCATAAGATTTTCCATCAGTTTTGTCCTTCTGGCATCATTTCGTCTGAGTCTTCTGACCTGCTGCAAAAGTTTCATCTTGGAATCTCCTTTTACCATCATTTTGGAATCTTCCTTCACCACCATTTTGGAAATCTTTTTCACTTATTACGATAGATTTTTATTGTTTGGTTTAATGGTTTATTGTAACATAATTCTCTGTAACAGTTGTTTTACTCCCTGATTTTAGTGGAGCACATCCTCCAGTAGCTTTCTGGGAAAAGATACATAGGAATTACATTTTTTCTGAGATAATTAAACTTTTATTTTTAGTCTTCTCTCACCCTTAATGAACAATTTGGTTGAGTGTAGGATTCCAGGTTGAAATCATTTTCCTTTCTAATCTTGAAGGCGTTCCTCCATTGTCTTCTAGCTTCCAGTGCTTTGGTTGAGAAATAAAATGTCATTCTCGTTTTGATCCTTTGTATATCTTCCTGTTTTTCTCTCTTTGGTAGTGTCTAGGACCATTCTTTGGTCCTGGCATTTTGAAAATTCACAGTGACGTGCATTGGTATGCATCATTTTGTCCTTTGTGCTGGAAAATGCACATCCTTCACTTCTGGGAATCTTTAATTATTTATTTGATTATTTCCTCTTCTCCTTCTTCTGGAACTTCTCTTCTTTAAATGCCAGGTCTCCTGTTTCTGATAAGGTGAGGGATGTGCAGTCACTGGTCAGCTTGAAGAGAGGGAGGAGGTTTGGGATTGAATTCTTAAACAGTCTCATGGTCATCCCGTTTTCAGGCCACATTTACCATCACTTCTAGAGCTTGGCCCACCGCCAGCTGAATGACCAATTGTTCTTCTGCTTTCAGCCTCCAAAATTTCGTTGCTCTGATCAGCTCTTCTATTCTCCTTTCCTCCTAGGTTTATGTCTTGTTAAAAAAACAAACAAAAAAACCCAGTCCTTTTGCTGTTACCCTCTTATAGTACAACAAGAAAGAGCAAAGGTACTGGCATGTGTTCAATCTGCCATCTTTAATTAAAAGCCCAAGTGATTTTTTAAGAAAATTCAGGATTGATATTTGCCACATGTTTTAAGTCCATTAGCCTAACTATGATAAATTTTAAAATATTCGCCACGTTTTATGACCTGATGGAAAATGAACAGTCTAGTCCAATTTGTTCTGTTCCAGAGACGGTAAGTGACGGTCACGGGTTCTAAGAGTATACGGTCCAAGGAGAGATGATAAAAGGGTAAAGTTTGTTCTGAAGTGATTCTTGTGGCACAAGTTCTTTTCTTGACAACCCTGTCATCTGTAACTTAGATCTGCAAATACACATCCATATAAGGCAAAATTAGCAACAGAAAATACCTCAGTGTCCCTACAGCAGTGGAAGAATGCATTAATGAAAAGAAGCTGGCCTCGTTATTCATTTATGGTTCTATTTAAGTCATATCTTTCATGTTATTTGAATCCAGAAAAGCCCTCTCTGGTTTGACTTTGCCTGATCCTTCCTTCATAGCCGCACACAGCAGTAGGGGAGGGGAGAGGTACCAAAGGCGGCCTTGTCCCTGGAATCCCTTTTCCTGTTGTCTTTGGTGCACCGTGTGCCTGTCACTGTCCCAGCTGAGAGGTGGCATTTGCTGTGTCCTTTTCCGCTTATGAGGCCGAGGGCAAAGGCAGCTAGAAGTGTCCTGTGGCCCTGGGGTGGCTGACACTTTTCCAGGGAGGTGGGAGGGACTGTGAGTGACAGCCCAGGAAGCAACTCCGACAGGGCACTGGGACTCTCCCAGCCTCCTTTGGGAGAGTCTGCAAAAATGGACCTACTCTGCAGAGCAGAGGAGAAATACCAGCTTTCGCTCCAAAAGAGACTTTGAAGGACTTGCAGAGGAGAAGTGACTCTTCCTCCAGAGCAGGGATCTTAACCTGGGCCCCTCCCCCTCTCTTCTCTCCTACTTCTCCCCGCAGCCCCTCCTCCCACAATGCCCAGCGGGGCCCCGGCCCTCCTTCTGCACCAGGGGCCTCCTTCTCCTGCAGGAAGTCTGCACACAGGAGGCCAAGCCTGCTTATCCTCCAGCAAGGTGTCCACTGGTCTCAGCAGAGTCACCACATCTTTAAAGGGACAGCTCCCCACTGCTAAGATAATGTTTTCTCCAGATCAATACGCAAATCAATCCTTTAAAAATTCTGATTAAGCCAGGGGTCAAGGGCCCACAAGGCCTGGCATATAATAGAGAGGAGAGAAGGGGGGCGCGGGGAGGTGCGGGGGAGACTGCAAATCAACTGTCCGCGCCTCTTCTGAAGGGTGGCAGCTGCCCAGCCCTGGGTAGAGTGTTGACAAGGACACAGGGTCATGTAGCTCCTACGGTCCGCGTGGCGTTAGGGATGCTGAGGCTGGCGGGCTCCTGGGAGACATGGAACTTTGGCTCGGCTGTGCAGAACCTTCCTCAGATTGTCCGTCTACCCAGCTTTCCCTCTCCTCTGGGGGCCAGACCCCAGTCATGGCTGGGCAGCCTCCCGGTGCCCCGGCCTACTCCTGGTCTCCTCTCCTGGGCGTCGCCCCCTAATGAAGTCCTTGCAGGTTCAACCCCATCTTGGCATCCGATTTTCAGGAGACCCAGACTGTTATGCCTAAAGACTTCAGTAAATTCCTATCAACTGGCAGATGGCCTGGGTCTCCAGGACAGAGACACAAATGCTAGGCTGTGTGTCTGGGTCATCACTGGCCACAGCGCCAGGAGCCAGGCTGTCTCCCTTGCACGGTCGATGTCCTGTTTCTCACCTCCTTTCTCCTTTTCCTCCAGGTTGTGGCTCTGTCCTCCTGGTGCCTGCTGAGGGACTCCATTTACTACACGCTGTCCGTGGTCGCGCTCATCGTGGTAAGTGTGTGATGGGCACCTCGCCTGGATCCCTGGCCTCTTATCTCCCAATCATCCTTCTCAGCTTGGGGTGACGTGTGGCTCCTCCAAGTGGAGCAGGTGCGTGGAGGTGGCTACTTTGATCACTCAGAACCCCAGCCTGATGGTCCGGTGCTCAGAACAGGAGCTGGCTCTGGTGCCCCAGCTCCATGAGCAGCATCCCCTGCTGTTTTCCTACAATTCCCCCGACGCTTTGCACTCACTTTCCTCATGGGCTCCCTCTGTAACTCCCTTCCGCATCCCTGGGTGTGGACCTTCCTTCTCCCCCTTACTCTGTGCACCCTCCCAGGACACGCCCTGCCGTCCCACAGTACCCGTTGCCATTACCGCCTTCACGCGGACACGCCTACACTGTGTCCCTAGCAGTGGGTAAGCAACTCTCTACTAGACACCTTCATGCCCCAGACCCAATGTGTCTCTACACTTGGGATGATTTCCCCAAGACTGGACCCTCCTCCTTTATTTCAGGCCCCGTTCCTACCCTAGCTACCCAGCCTGGGAATGATATTAAACTGACTCCCAACTCCCAACATACGCATCTGGCATCAGTGTCCTGTGGATTTTCACTTTGTAAAAGTCTGCCCAGTGTGTCCCCCGTAGCCCGTTTTCCTTGAGGCTTTTCGCATCTCTGGCCTGCACTGATGAAGCTCATTGCAGATTAATGTAACGAGTAGCATCACAGCTGCCCACCCCCTCCCGCTCTACTCCCCGCTCCCTGGTCAGTCCTCAGAGCTGTCCAAACGGTGTCTCGACAAAGAACACCTGCAAATGCCAGTCCTGTGTTTATATGATCAGCGGCTCCATGTCCTGTGGGGACAAACCCAAATCCCTTAGCTTGGCAAGCCGAGCCGTCTAGGAGAAGGGCAGCAAATCAGAACAACACATGGGAATCGGGAGACCTGGCTCCTAATTCGGGTCCCCTTCTCGCTAGCTCTAATGACCTTGGAGAAATCAGTGTCTCCAGGTCTTAGTTTCCTTATGCACAGAACGGAAATAGATCCTCTGAAGGATTTACTTACCTGTTTACAAAGCACTTACCTGTATATTGTTGAATTATAAATAATTAAATTATAAATTAGATTTAATTATAAAGCTGTCTACAAATAAGTCAAAAGTGATGTTTAATACAAGACTTTCCCCAAGGAATCAGATGGGTTAGTTAAGTCAACAGCAGCTCCAAGTGAAGAGCTTGGGTTTACAACCACAGCGCCCTCACTCCAGGGGCGATTGACGATCAGGACGGTTGAGACCAGCCCCAAGCGCAGAAGTGCTCCGATGCCCACGTTGGACTGAAAACACAGTGTGTCTGTTGAATTCCCGGTCAGCAGACTTAAGGACACCTATGAGCTCTGTGTTCTTGTGCCTGTGGAAGAGGTACGATCACCCCCAGATCTAGAAGCCTCTGTTCACCCAGCCCAGACTCTTCTCAAACACGCTCCGCAGAATCTTTGTCCTGTGATGCCCGGTCCCATACAGCTCACATGCACTCTGCTCTTCTGCTGTCAGGGTATTTTAGGATGATTTCTGAAAATTACATTTTTCAAGAGACGTGTTAGTGGATGGTGTCAGTGAACACAGTCCTCCATTTTACTGAATTCCAGAAGGAGGTGTCCACCCTCCTAGAGACAAGGCGATGAGCCAGAACAGCGCAGTCCAAGACCCCCTGGGAGGGACTTCCCTGCAGGTGCAGTGGTTAAGAATCTGCCTGCCAATGCAGGGGACACGGGTTTGAGCCCTGGTCCGGGAAGATCCCACATGCCGTGGAGCAACTGAGCCCAAGAGCCACAACTACTGAAGCCCGCGTGCCACAACTACTGAAGTCCATGCGCCTAGAGCCCGTGCTCTGCAACAAGAGAAGCCACCGCAATGAGAAGCCCGCGCACCGCAACAAAGAGTAGCCCCTGCACGCCGCAACTAGAGAGAAAGCCCATACGCAGCAACGAAGACCTGACACAGGCAAAAATAAATAAGTAAATAAATTTATACCAAAGGAAAAAAAAAAAACAAGACCCCCTGGGAGCACGGACTCGGCAGCGTCCACGCCCGTCGGCAGATTTGCCGGCGTCAGTTTCAGTGTTTTCACATAGACACCTCCTGGACCGCGTGTGAAATAACCTGTCTTCTGTCACATTTATCTGGACGTGTTCAAGATAGAACAAATGTAATTGTCGCCGATGACGTGCGAAGAAAGAAAGCGGTTTTGCATCCTCAGGCTGTGGGCGACGCTCACCCGAGCGGGGTCTTTGGGCAAAGCAATCACTTGCTGAAGATGAATCAGAGCTGACTCAGCTGCTCGCAGGATGCCAGCAGCTCTGTGTTCCCTCCGATGGCAACAGAGTCAAAAGCAAGTGATTCTTTGCTGTGACCTAGAGATTGGACTGTGTATTTACCGACCTGACGTCAAGGCTAGATTTTTATGATCTTGAGAAAAATTACCTTTCTCCACTGTTAGGAAGGAAGTAATGGAAAAGAGAACGTCTGGGTCCTCAGGGTTTGGTCTCGGTTCTTTCTACTTTAAGTGGTGTTCCTCCAAATTCAGCAGCACAGGAAACGCTCAGCATGCCTCCTGGAAACATGCAAACCAGAGATTTTAATTCAGTAGATCCTGGGGTTGGACCCAGGAAGCTTCACTTCAACCAGGATCTTCCCCCGTGATTCTGATGCCAGTGGCACCCACCGCGCTTGGAGAAACTCAGCCTCAAATACGGTTGGACACCATTTCCTCAGATGTTCATCTGCCGCAGGCGAGGATCGTCTCGAAAGGGGAAGCATCACGGCAGCTTGGTTGTCTGGATTTCTGAGGGCTGTTCGTTCTTGGGGTCATTTTCACATGAGACTTAAAACCAGCCTGAAGAGCAAAACAGCCTAATACCCGAAGAGCAGCGCTTAGCAAAGGAGGTTCCTCAGTGCCCACAGATCCCTTCCATGCGCCAGCCCCAGGCTGCTGCTCTACACGCCATATCGTTTTGTCAAGGTTTCCTAGTCTCCTCTTTCTGTGTTTTCCCTAATGTCATGGTAACAGCATCACTTTTCTTTGGGTTTTCCTTGTATAACACAAAGCTTCTCCATCAGACTCTGCAATGGGCACTGAAAAGTCCTGTATTTAGAACCCTCCTCCTACCCACAAGCAATTACCAATAATTATCTGAATAATTTATTTTAACTATTAGGGTTTTTTTTTTTACCCTCTCCCCCTTTTTATGGCTCTGAAATGTTCAGAAGGCAGTCCCCTGAGGTGCCGCAATGAAGAGCTCATTCACCCGGAGGGCGAGTCCCGACTAAATGGGACCAGAGGCCACTTCTAAATACATCTGCCCACAGGGAGGAGCCCCGAGGACAGTCCCTCAGGGCTGGGGATCCAAAGAGCAGGAAAGACCACGTCTCCAGGGAGGCTTAGGGCCGCGGGTCCAGGGAGTGCTGGTGGGGTCGTTACTACCTGGATTCTGAAACAGCTGACATGGAAGCTGCTGCAGAGGCCCAGGCCAAAAAGCAGAAACACAGCACATGGGTGTTCTGAAACCAACAGAGCTTCAAAGGGTTAACTTAGAGACAAGGGACTCAGTTCACCTCGATACCTGGGATTTACCTGACCTTTGCTCTCTGCTATTTTCTAGTTTGTTTGTTGTTGCTGTTTTTTAAAGAGAGAGCGAGAAAATAAATAGATAGAGAGTGGAAGAAATTAAGAACATGCTGTCATCTAAAGCAGTTCTAATTGCAAAAGCGTACAGCGCCTGTCTCTCTGCGCCCTTCCCCCGCCCCATCAGGCATCCCCCTTTAGCCCAGGTGACATTCTCTACAGTGAAGCATCAGGCCCTGGAGAAGCTTGACATGGCCCAGGAAGCTCACCCCATGACTTGGGTCTCTTTCTGCAAGAGAAGTGTCGCTGTTTAGGTTCTGAGAGCATCCTGGGTCCTTCGGAGCATGTCCTGTGTGCATCTACACGATGGGTAGTCTGCAGACCTTCATGGACGCTCTTGCTGCTGTCTCTCACACCAAGGACCCGCCCCCATCTGACGATGGCAGCTCCGGCCTCCCCATCTTCTTTCTCCAAATTCCAGCAGACCCGACAGACAGTCTCTTTTATTGAAATGTTACTGTAATTTACATAATCATGTAATTTACATAAATGCAAATGATTCATTACATCGTCAATCTAACAGCTGCCCTAAAAGGAATACTTTATTTTTACCCTTCATCTCTGCTTCAAGATGGGGGATTTTGAGCACCAAGAGAAGGGAAACTTCCAGGGGGTGTGGAGAGGCCTCTGAGACAGGTTCCAGATAACAGACAGGCTCACAAATGCAGCTTGGGGGAGGAGGGGCTGCCCACCTGGAGAAGGGCCAGGTGGGCCATCGGCAGTTGCGGGGCCCCTCAGGGCAACCTGAGCACCGGCACAGCAGCAAGGCTCATCCGAGGTGACACTGCCCTCTCGCTCAGTGCAGCCCCCCACTCTGATAAAGAGAGACAACTCAGCTGACCCATCTGCTGGAGACAGCCTAGGCAGCACTGTCCAATATGATAGCCACCAAGCACGTGAGCCTTTGAGCTCTTTTTTTTTAACTTTTATTTCATATTGGAGTAGAGTTGATTTACAATGTTGCGATAGTTTCAGGTGCACAGCAAAGTGATTCAGTTGTACATATACAGGTGTCTATTCTTTTTCAAATTCTTTTCCCATTTAGCCATTGTCCTCTTGAAATGCAACCATTGCAACCAAGGAACTGAACCTTATTTCATTAATTTCAATGTATGAGGCCACATGTGGCTAGTGCCTGTCAGCTTGGATAGCACAGTTGTAGAGAGCAAATCCTTCCATAGAAAGTATACCTACATTCTCACGGGCACTTTTAACAGGCATAGACTCCATACTTCCTACGGGACTGAGTACAGTGTTGGGTCTGTCGATGGAGATTTCCTAGTTCAATACTCACCACTGCGCAAGCAGCTGTGATAGGAGTCCCATTTTACAGATGGCAACACCAAGGCTCCAGAAATCCAGGGATTTGCTCAAGGTGAGCGAGCTGCAACCTCTCAGGCCAACCAGAGCAGGAGGATAAGATGTACAGCTGCATCAGCCCAGCAAAGAATTCAGGTTTTCCCTTCAACAAAACCCGCCTCGTACAGTCTGGCTTTACCCCACCTACCACGAAGTCCACCTTCACAGGGGCGCCCGGAGGAAGCACTTACTTTACATTTGGAGACCGAACGTCTGCCTCCCTCTCCTGGAAGTCTTTCATTAAGACAACTCATCTTAAATCTCCTTATCTAGCCCTTTCTGTGAGAGGAGAGTGCCTGACATGTACCCTGCTGACTGTCCTCTGGTGCCCGCTATCCTCCACGGCCCGCCCCCTCGGGCCCTTCCTCCTCCTCCAGTTTGGAGACCCTGAGGCCCTTCTGTTCACGATTACATCTCAGGGCCCCAGCAAAGCGGGAATGACTCTGGCAGCCAGAAGATTCTCACACAGAAGGATGTGAGAGAACATTCAAGTTCCTCAAACAAACCAGGGGGGATCCCCTGTTCCCTAATCCCTGCCACAGTGAGGAGGCGGGGCTGCTCTAAGTGGTGCCGGGGTCAGGGAGGAAGCCGGGGCATCCGAGCATTTGCTCCTGGAGCCGGGAATCGGGTTGGCTGGACGGGATTCCAGGAGACTTGCTCTCTCCCGAGGACAGCAACTTGGACTGTGTTTTTGCGCTGCTGAGCGAACGTAACCTCTTGCTTTAACAACCGTCATCGCCTGTATCCTAAATTGGTCGTCTCATCACTGTTTCTTCTGCTGTGGCCTGCCCTGCAGGTTGATATGGGATGTCCAGCTCTGCTCAAGCCCTGCCTTTAGTTCCTACCCTCCTGCATCCCCAGCACCGTCAGGTTGGCCAGCTGGAGATGCTCATGTCAGAATCACGATTTACCCTTCAATTGGAAACCGTATCTGTGCCTCACAGCTGTTTTCCAATGTATTCCATCTGACTCCTCCCCTCAGAGGGAATCGCCATGGGCTCCGCTAAGCCACCCGCACCCCTGTCCCTGAAGCCGGAGGAATGCAGGACGCTGAGTAGGCACATCTCCTGAGGGCATCTACCCCGTGGGCGGGAGCAGTTTCCCTTCTCAGCAACGCGGGGAGATGTTCAAGGTTTCAGTCTCTTGAAAGAGGATATGATGGTGTTGATTTTCTCCTTTTACCTTCACTGCTTAAAATTCTGATGGTGCCAGAGATTACTGTACAAGCTACGAGGCCTCAGCTCCAGCACAGCAGCCGCCCAGCGCCATGGTTACGGCTTACAACCAGCCAGCCCAGGGCCGCTGTGCGCTGCGGGGCCAGCCTGGCCTCTCCTCTCCTGCCCACTCGCCTGCGACGACGGCTGTCTGTTCCTTGCTGTTCCGCCTTGAGTTCCCTGGGTTGATCGGTCATCCAGGGATTCACCTGCCTGATGGAATCCTGTCTCTCTCGGAAGAATTCTAGAGCAGACACCAGCACTGAAAAGCTGGTTTCCATGGTACCCAAACGTTTCGCGGAGGCCTGGAGGAAGAGGGTTTTTTCAGACTCACTCCTGTGAGCTCCCATTTAGCTTGTCTGCGGAACACGTGGAAAGCTTAGCGTGAAGCCGGGGGTTGCTCTGGAGGAACCAGATATGGGTCAGAGAGCAGGTCCCTGACCAGCCATGCAGCAAATCTGGGGCCCAGAGATCAGCGCACCCACGCGGGCCCTGGCGGAGGGTGGGGGTGGGGGGGGGCAGTAGCGGCCTCGCCCCAAACACAACCAGCAGAGCACAGAGAGCTGCTTTCCCAAGGCTCCTCTGCAAAATCCCACTTGGGAAAAGGGTGGGGCACCTCTGACCGCTGCGCTCAGGTCTGGGGACTGCGTGTGGGTGTAACTGAGGGTCCCCCCCGGCCCCATCTCAGAGCACCGGGCAGGAGCTGCCTCCAGAACGTCACCCCGCCCCGTGATGGCAGTGTGCTGGCCGCAGGCCGCTGCAGGAAGCCGTCTGTCCAGGGGCCCTTGCCCACCTCCCAGGAGATTTCATGGAGCCGCCAAGGGGACTTGGTCCGACTTGATCTCAACATCTCTGCCGGGGGCCGGGCCGCCGGGATGCGGGGCCGGGACGTGAGCGCCACCTAGTGGGGACCGGCTGGAACTGGGGGCGCAGTTTCTTGTTTCAGGTGGGGCACGGCGTGTGATTTCAGGTTCTCTTCCACCCTAGTCACCCAGCCAGCGGGGGTGGGGAAGTGGTTTTGTCTTCTTTTACTCACCGAGTGAGCATGAAAGTACAGGGGGATGTGCAACACTCGTCTTAGGAGAATCAAGTGAAATAAAATCTGTAAGGAATAGGAAACCCGCTCTAACCATCCGCAACACCAAGTGAGAGTCACGATCTTTGTCGCCGTACATTTTCAGACAGGCCGGTTCCATGCTCTGTCGGCGTGGTCCGGAGATGTGGTCTCCCAGGGGAACAGTCTGTGAACAGTGCAGGTTTCCTTCTGGGTGGGTGACAGTCAGCCGGCCGGCCCCCTCCAGGCACCACCAGACTCTGCAGGCAGGTCTCTTTCCTCGCCACACACAAGCCTCTTTCCATTCAGGTTTTCTCAAAGGCCTGATTTATAGTCCCTTTTATCAATGTTACTGTTCTTTTTTGGTGGCTCTCGTGTTTCCACCCAATCCTCTTGAAGCAATGGGGTCAAACCCAGACCGTGTTCACTCGTGGGCCACAGGGTAGCTGAGGCCTCAGGGCTCCAGGTGGTCAGGGACCAGCATCGCTGCCTCTGTCGTTTGGAAGTTTCTGGTTCCCTCCCCCCACCACGTTTGCATCCAGGCATGCCTCACTATTTCTCTGGTATTGTGTTCCCTGGAAATTCTGCTCTCACTTTGGAATCCTTTGTACAATTAAGCCCATTCTGATTTTTTTTTCACCTGTCATTTAGGTAGCACAAAATAAGGCTTCCTCAGAGCTGCTTGCATATTGCAGAGTGTTGGCTGCCCTCCCCAGAGAGGAACATTAAATTGGTGATCTAATCAACTCTTTACTAGTATCTTGTGCTCTCTTAAGTGGCTCCGAATTGATTGTTCCAGCCTGCTGCCCAAGACTGATATTGAATTAACTTCAATTAATAGAAAACATTTTCCAACTTAAATCACTGCTTCTGTTCCATGATTTCTTGGATTTTTTGAAAGCTAGCAATTATGTAACAGCGGCTGGGAATGCCTTCCTGGGAATGAATTCCATACCATCCAGCCTGGATTGTGGGGCGGTTCCCTTTATTTCTTTATTTCTCTTCCCACTCTGGTCTGACATTTTCATCCAAATGCCGCCCTGTTGGATCCGATAATGACAGATGACAAAGCAGCAAAAACTGATGAAGCCAATGTCTTTGTCAGTGTCTTGTTGGGAAGAGTGAGTTACAAAGAAAAGGGTGGCTCCTTTCTCCTCATCCTCCTCTATGCTCCTTTGGGGCGATTGGAGGGAGGTCCTCTTGTGCGCCTTTTCAGCTGCACCTGCTGGTCTTCGAGGTTTTCTCTGTGTCTCTCACAACTGGTGGTCGTTGTCATCGCCGGGGACTGAAGCGAAGTCCCATTGTTAGCCGAGTTTACCACCTGGGTGCAGTAATCACCCTCTACACCCAGATGCTTCTGCCTGAGAGTCTCCAGAGGGCCCCTAAACGAAAGTTGCTCAGAGATGATCGCGCTCAAATCAGTCATGTCCTGTGAGTGTGGGAAGGAACAGCTTCCTACTTGAATGAAATAGAAGGGCATTCATTTGGTTTCAGCACCATACCATCTGGGCAAATAAGGGTGTCATGGAAAGAACACGAAGTTAGGAGCCAGGGCTGGGTTCTAGGACCAACTCTGCAGCTAATTGGGCAACCCCAGGGAAATTACTCATGTTCTCTGCAGCTCCGTTTCCCATATAAATCAAAGGGCCAGGATTATACCACTTTTTCCCCCAAAATGAGAAGCGATCTTAGATGCTATGTGGAGTAGGATTTAAATAAACTCAGTCCTGTCGAGTGTTTTCTTCGGCTCCTAACTGATCAGGGAGGGTCTCTGTTTGGCCCTTTGCACTGCTTCTGACCCTCGCTAATCTCCATAGAAGCTCAGGTGCTTTCGTAAAAGCTCGAAGGTGCTGTACGATGCGCAGAGACATACAGACAGCTTCCAGGGGACCCGTAAGTGACTAATGTTTGCAAGCACCCACCAAGCTCCGCATCCCCTTCCAGATCTGAAATTCTACAAATAACAAGGTTGGGCATGCTTCCCTCTCACTCCATCCTCTGACAGAACTTGCAGGAAGGCTGGGATGGCCTGATGCCCACCCCAGTCTGCCAACAAGACTTCGTTCCACTAACACTGCCCAGAGACTAAACCAGCACAGAGGGGAGTTTGCCCACAGATGCTTCACACCCCAAACCGGCCCCAGCCCCGATTCCCACCAGCCAGCCACAAGGGCGGGTACCATGCGGTTATAAAGCATGTGTGTGCATGTGTATGTGTGTGTGTGTGTCTAATCGTCTCTCCTTTTTATTTTTTTTCACAGTTCATTTATGATGAGCAAGTTTCCTGGTAAGTACCTCTTTTCCCCTTCCAATTTCCCCTTGCTATGTGGCGGAGACAGTCCAGTAAAGACCAAAGTCAGGGTCTAGGAAAGAAAGGGAAATGTCGGGGCAGCTTGGAACAACTAGCGTTTCTCAGGAACCCTCTGTCCATCTCGACAAAGAAATTAAATCAGCTTTCACGGAGCGGAGACCGTTTCCCTTGGGCTGGCCTGGTGAGCTTCCTTTGGGGACCCTGTTATCTTGCTGTCTTTATCATCCAGATTAGACAGTGTAATGCAACTGTGCCTTTCCACAGTCAGTCATGGGCAAGGCCATGGTTAAGACTTGATGAACCTTTTCCAGTTGTCCAGACCGCATCAGCATGTTCCGAATACCATGTATTCAGTATATCCCAGGAACCAGAGGTGAAGGCATGTCGGTGACCTTTAACCCATTAAAGTTCTGCCTAACATTCAAGAAGATCTTAGAGCTCTGGAAAAATCAGTGATTTTTTTTTTTTTTTGATAGATTAAAAAAAAATTGCCCAAATTAAGTATACGGGAACATTTGCATTTGGGTCAATGTCCAAGTCACCTTTTTTGAGATGGGTTCGGAGCATGTCAGCTGTGTTTGAAATGGAAATAGGAATTGGGTGTGTCATGCATTCTTGTTACATTTTTCAAATATTTGATCTGTGGAAGTAGGGTGATGTGAAAATACACCCACTTCTGGAAGAACATCTCAGAAAACAGGTAGTTGTGATGCTGTAGGTAGACGACTTTCATGGTATTATTTGGAGCTAAGAATGAGCTAGAAAAAGAAGCACAAACAACGAGGTCCTACTGCAGAGCACAGGGAACTATATTCGATATCCTTTAGTAAACCATAATGGAAAAGAATATGAAAATAATAATAAATTATACCTTTAATTAAGAAAAGATTAACAGAGCCCAGCAGTCTTCGTTTTCAGCAAAATGAGTGCTAGCCCTTTGCTGGAGCGACATGTCTGTGTCCAAGGATGTCTCTGTGATTTTCAGAATTTGGGGTGGTGGGGAGCATATCACATGGACCATAAACGTTACACACTATCCTCTCTTTTGTCACCTCTCTCTCCTCTGTCCAAGAGGGCAAGGGGGGAGACAGCTGGGGGAACTTGCTGTAAGACGCATAGACCCTATACTGACCCATAAAAATAAGAAAGAAGTCTTCTTTGGATAACAGTGATCAGCAAGCTGAAAGGGATCAAGACGCCTGGGAGTACCTCAGGTCAGAGGTCAGAGGCCAGAGGTCAGGAAGAACCTCCTCGTGGGATCCACCTGGACCTGGTCGCCACGTGGAGTGGTGACATTTTCCCCTCATGTCCTTGGGGATTACGTGCAGCACAAGAAAACTTGCAGAAGCGTTCCCATTCAAACTCATGGCATGGTTAGCACAACCAATGCTCTGCCTCAGCAAACAGCAGGTGCCTAAGTGTTGCTCGGTGTTCCTGCTCTTTGCTAACAGTGCTGCCATAAGGAAAAGCAAGTTATGATCATAGTTGACCTCAGAAATTTTTCTGCTGCCTTTGTGCAGAAAACCTGAACAAAGGAGACCCGCGGGTGGTTTACCGTCTGTCAGTCTTAGAAGGAGCCCTCTCTCCACATCTCCTTGGCTTTGCACGTGAAAACCATGGCAGGAGGAAATGAAAGCAGGTTCATGACAAGCCTGTGTCAGTCCTTACCCTCAAGGTGTCCTTTAGGATATTTCAGACGGGAAGGAGCAAGAACTGGAGAGTCTGTATCCTCTCCTTTCCAAAGGCTGACCCTCCTACGATGTCAGAGGACAGAACCTCGGTTCCTAGGCTACTCCCCGAGCCTGTGCTGAAGGCCGGATTCTGAGGTCATCAGCCCCTCAGCCTGGGCACCCAGGCTCCCACAGGAGGGAGGAGGCGGGAGGGCCACGGATACACCAGTCGCAAATTCCCAAGCGGGTTTTGGTCCAGCCTGGGGTGGGTCGGAATCATAACTCATGCACAGGTGAAACTGCGGGAAGAACTGTGGGAAGCTTTCATGGCACCAAATATCATTCTCAGACAGCCGACCTGGTACGTAATCATGGTTATTATGTGGATGGGGTGACAGAGATCGTTTTGCACGAGTGAGGCTGAGAAGTTAAAGTCTCACCACTGACCTGTCACTGCTTTGGGATTTCCAGGGATTTCAGCTCCTCATGTGACTGCAAAATATACTGAACTTTACAATATTTTTTACTGTCCACATCTCTTACTTTCTTACCCAGCCACCTATGAGTATTTATTTTGCTGAAAGAGTGAGTCTAGGAGCTGATTCCTCTGATTTCTGTCCTAAGAGACAGACTCTTCAATCTGTGCAATTAAAGCACAGGAGTATTTCAATAATTCCTTCAACAGTGAATTCCTTTCCTTGTTGTAGGACATTCCAGCATGTTCTAGCAATGTCAAGGCAGGAAACCAATTCACCCCAAATCCTTGAAACTAATGTCAGTTGTGCTTATTTTGAAACTAAAGTACTCTTTAGGAGGAAAGGAGCCTTGTCAAATACAAGTACGCAAGGGGAAGGGATCCCCACCACGCATGGTTTAGATTCCTTTACTGTTCCTCAAGCAGCATTCCACAGCAAGTCACATTCAGCCAAGAAGTGGCCATCAGAAGGCTTTTAGTAGCAGGTAGTAGAAAAGGCAGCCACAGTGGATTACAGAAATAGTGGTTTATTTTTCTTACATATCAAGTACCCCAGATATAGGTAGTACAATGGCTCTGCATTTCTCTTGACCTTTCCCTAATGACCCCAAGATGGCTGCTGTGGTTCCAGCCATCAAGTTTGGATTGAAGGCAAGAAGGAAGAAGAAGGGGCTATGTCGTTTCACTGAACACCTTTCCACCTTATATCTCTTTGGTCACAACTGGGTCTGCTTTGACCAATAAGTGTCCAGGGGGGAATAGAGTTACAACTTTAGACCAATCATTTATCCCACCCTCCTTGAGGTCAAGGGTCCCCATTTACTGCCTCAACATAGTGGGGTTCCATTAGCAGAAAGAGGCAGGGGAATATCCGTCGGGTGCTTTTCCATCAGATACCTGCCCCAAAAGACATCTGACACAGATAGCATCAGAGAGCCACCTAGTAGGGTATGTGTTCACCCTGCCCAGCAAGACCCCCACTGTTGCCAGAAGGAATTCAGAATGTGTCTTCAGTGAGTCTGAAGGCCTGACAAGAAAACGAAAGGATGCAGGGTGCTGTTTTTGTCTCTTCTTTGAGCGAGTCGTGACTTTGGGGGAGAAAGGAGAGCCTGGGACTTGACCTGGACAGTGTCCATCTGCATGGTGTTGGAGACCGGCTTTTGTGGTTCTGGACCCTGGTTAGGAAGTGGAGACGTGCCCTCTGGGCGAGGGGTGGGGGGGGTGACAGGGCGTAGCCCTCCAACACGGAAAAGAACAATCTCTGGCAGGAGAATCCAGGGCCAGTTGTAGGTGGTTCAGAGTGGAAGTTTGTGGGAAGGGAAGAGCGCACCCAGATCACACAAGCCCAGGTCCTTGGAGGACAGCGGCGGGCTGTGGCCGGCAGGGGCAGATGGGAAGAGCGGGGGACATCAGGGGCTGCCGGTG